GCGGCGCGCCGTGCGGCGAGGGCGTGGGGTGCGGGAGCCCAGGGAGCTGACTTTGCGAGTGGATCGTGGACGCGTCTTATGTCGCAGTGGGCGGCCCGCCGTATGGGCGCCCCTTGCTAGCTGGCCTGCCCGCGGCGGCCGCACAGCAGGGGCAAGGGGCCGCCCCGTGCATGCCTTGGGCTGTGCGACAGCCCCGCTGTACCGCCCGTGCAGCCGCCTTGATACAGGCGCGCTTGAATCCACCCCCTCCTGCCCCAGCCGCCCCCGGCGTCCGATGCTTACACATTCACACGGCGCGCCGGCGCCGCACGGCTACTGCCTGCCGCCAGGCGCCTTTCCAGATCTTCCGGGGCTGTCGGGACCGCGCTGGCTCGTACGGCGCAGGGACTTGCATGCTTGTGATTCGATTCGGCAGCCCTGTGCTGCCACCCTACTATGGCCAAAATGTTGCTTAATGAGAACCTGTTTCGCCGTTGCCGGCTGCATCGCCCAGTCTTTTGTCAAGAGTTCGCCGCCGACGCGCCCCCGGGCCCCAGCCGCTGCGGCTTGCGCTGCTGCGAAGCGCCCGCGCGCCAAGCGGCACGGCCGCCGTGCTGCCGGCATAGCCACGCGCGGCGCGGCCGGCGCGGCGACGCGGTGGCCCGTGATCCGCTCGGCAACGCCCGCACTGCTGCTTTACTCTGCACAGCTGCCGCCCAAAGGCCCTCCATAGACGCTGGGCAGGGGCAGCAGCTGTGTTGGGTCTGTTTTCAAGGCCATGCATGTCACGCATGCCGCGCTTGCAGACACACACGCGCGCGCGTGCAGGCACACACACGCACTCTTCCTCCGTCATACACACACGCGCACACCCACGCGCGAGGATTCAATGCCACTGCTGAATGGCTGCCCAGAGGCCGCATCCCTGCTCTTTCTGTGTACCCAGAACTGCGTTGCCGTGATCCGTCGTCCCCGCGTCCTCCCCACCGTCTTGGAACCGGCTCCGGGCGCCCAACGCCTCCAGCAGCCCCCTGTGGTGCCAATCCGAGCGGGCGCGCCCGCCCGCGCGACTGTGCCCGCGCCGCCGCCAGCCAGGCCCGCGCTGCGCCGCGCCTGTCGCGTCCCAGGTTGATGAGACGCGCCGCTCTGCGTCATGAGGGCCCCGCGCCGCCGGCCGTCCACGCGCACGTGCCGAGTCCCCTCTGCCGTCGTCGGCAGTGCACTGCCCTTTTCTGCCCTTCGCCCTTTCTCGCCGCCCACCCCCCCTACTCTCTTGTCCAAAGGAGCGCGCTTCGAATCGCAATGGGGGCTTTCTGTCACGGTTGAATAACGGCTGCTCTGTGCGTGGCCACGCGCGTTGCCCCTATACCCTCCCTTCCTGAGGTGGCCGGATGCCCCTCCGCCGGCGACCTGCGTTGAAATGCATGTGGGTTGTCCGCTGTTCGCCGGCTCTTTGCACTGCTCCGAAAACATCACTGCCTTCACTTGCAGCCCTCACGTACTATGACGCACCTGGTGCTTTGCCCAGAGTAATACTTACTAAGGGAGCTGATCGGCAGGCTGCCGCGGCACATCGGGTCACGTCACCCCAACAGTACTGGTGGTACGCCGGCAGCTCTGCTGGGCTAGAATTTGCAGTGAGCAGTGCGGATGCGTGTGGCATTGGTGGGCCGCTGAAACACCTTGAATACAACTGCGGGGGCAAAGATGGAGTAGTGGGTATGCGGCTACCCCAGCTGAAGGGCTCCACCCGCCCCCCCCCTGCAACGCCTGTACCCCCCCTCAGCCGTTGCTGAGGACGCCAGCAGCTGCTAGGACGGGAATCCGCCAGGGATCCGCTGCTTTTAGGTTTGTTTTTGTACAGGATCCTGGCGGGGGGTCCCACATACACAGCTGGATGGGCAAGCTCGGTAACCCAGACTTTGAGTCCCCAAAACACGTGAAGTTGCAGGGGCTTGGAACGGGTGAGCGATCTCAATGTCTTGACAAGACAAGCTGGCCGCGAGCGCCGCCTGTCCTGCCTGCCCAGGTGCTGAAATGCCAGCTGCTCAGCGGCGGGCACAGCGTGCCGGCGCGCCTTGGCCAGAAGCTCGTCTCTCCACTGCGGCCCAAACGAGCGGCCGAAACGCGTGCGCATGAGCACGAGAACGCATCAGCCCAGAATATAGCAGCGCACTACGTTTGCCTTTTGCCGTGCGCCCTGCATTGGCACCCCGCCAACCCCCACAACCCAAGGGGCTGCAGCAGGCGGTGGGGCTGCAGGACTTGGGGGGCTGCAGGAGGCGGTGCTGAAGGGGATCTGGCTAGATTGGGTGCACTCTGCCTGGACACGCGGGAGCCTCCGCAGGAGCCAGCTACCATACCTTTCTTGCATGTGGTCTTTACGCGATGCAGCCGCAACATCTGAGAGCGGGCGGTGCGGCGCACACCGCCCGCTTCACCCAGCAGTTTTGTGCCGCAAGAATTTCCCTAATTGATGATACGCCACGGTCGTGGCTCGCCTAATCAACACGCCAGCAGCCTGAGCTTCTGGGGTTGTGTCGGTAAGTCGCCCTTGACCTCAGTCCTGTCATCCCCAGGGCGCTATTGGCCAACAGTGGAACATAACGCGATTACGTGCGCACACTAGCATTAGCACAGCTTCAATCATATGTATTTCGCATCAATTCTACTTCACTGCTTGCGTGTTTGTCCCCCAGGCCCGTGTCGCATCGCGCACACCCCCCCCCCCGCCCCGTGTGACATGGTGCAATGTCATGCAAGGCGATCGGCCCCAGCATAGCACCAGCGCATGCTTCTAGATGTTAGAACTAAATGCCGTTCAGCTGCTGGGCCAGAGTGACCTAGGTCACACTGAGCGCTGCTAAGTAATTGCAAGCCGCTCGGGCATGATGCTCTCAAAGCAAACCGCATCAAGTTCTCGGATATGATTATGCGATTTTTATCATAATAGGCTTCACGAGATCGCATTCAAGGCACCGTCGGCCACCATCCGCGCAGCGAGAGTGACGGGGCCAAGGGACAACGGTCCTGACAATCACTCGTGACTCGTGTGGTTTATACGCGTGCATCACTGTACAGCGGCCTCCCCGCAGACGCAAGACACGCGCGTTTTTGGGGTGGGGAGCGTCGCAGGGCAGGCACGGCAGCAGTTGAGCGCGCGCCATGGCGCAGCTCGACATCCCTTTGAGGCCAGAGGAGAAGGCTGCAGAGCCGCAAACCGTGTGCGTCACAGGCGCCACAGGCTATGTGGCAGGCCACATCGTCGCACGCCTGCTGGCGGCCGGCCATACGGTGGGTTGGGCTGAAGCAGCTCGCGTAACACGGCAAGCCAGGATTCACAGCGCATGGCTGCCGCGGGCGGGGGGGCGGGGGCGCTGTCTATGACAGCACCGTCGGCTCACGCGGCGCGCCGGACGAAAGGGGTGTGGCGGTAGCGAGGTTGTGGAGGCGGCCAGGGCGGAGCAGGACAGCAGCCCTTGCCGAGCGGCCGTAGGCGGCCGCGTCGCTCGCGCAGCTGCGAGCGCGTCGCTGCGAAGCGGGCTTGCCATATCGCACTCAGTGCAGCGCGGCGGGCTGTGCTGCAGCGTTGCGGCGTCCCATGCACGCCGACAAGCGCACGGTCACTCTTCCCCCTGCAAACCATCCGGCCCCCCCAACACACTCGTGTACACACGCTCACATACACCTCTCCTCCCTGCGTGTGTTGTCGACCATACACATGCATTCACTCACACACACACACACACATATACACACATACACACACACACACCACTTCGCCCCAGGTCCACGCCACCGCGCGCAACCCTGGCAATGCCAAGTCTGTCGCCCACCTGGCCTCGCTGCCTGGGGCAGCGGAGCGGCTGAAGCTATTCAAGGCAGACCTGCTGCAGGTGGAGGCCGCCCTTGCGCTGGGGTTGGGCAAAGAACGCGCTGGTGGAGGCGACAGGCACTTTGTTTCCTCGAATCCGGGCATCACTTGCAAGGCGGTTTCTCATCATCAATGATGGACCTTGCTGAGCGCCCACCCCACACATTAGCAAGCAAGCATGCGCGGGGCGTGATGCGGACCCGATAGCAGGCGCTGCCACAAACCACGCGCCTACAAGCCTTCAGACGGCGCCCGTGACCCACACCCATGCCCTCACCTCTGCACGCCCGCAACCCGCCCCAACCGCCCCCGACCGCTGCGCCGCAGGAGGGCTGCTTTGACGAGGCCCTCGTCGGCTGCAGCGCCGTGATGCACACCGCGAGCCCCTACTTCCTCGACTGCCCGCCGGGCAAGGAGGACGAGATGCTGATTGGCCCCGCGATCCGCGGCACGGAGAACGTCCTGAACTCTGTCAACCGGGCGCCGGGAGTCAAGCGGGTGCTGGTGACGTCGAGCGTGGTGGGGGTCTGGGGGGACCCCAATGAGCGGGGCAAGGGGCACGTCTTCACGGAGGATGACTGGAACAAGGTGAGTTGGCGGGGAGGGGGTGCGGGGTGGGGAGTCTGGTTGGTTGTGGGACGCGGTTGGTGGGTCTGAAAGTGGGTGTGTTGAATGTGGGTTGTGGATGTAGATGCGTGTGGGTTCGTGTCCGCAGTTGGCGTTAGGGCAACGGGTTACTGTGGGTGACCGTAGCGGGGTGGGGCTTGAAGGCGCACTCACACATGTGTATCTTCAAGTCACTTACCGCTTCAGCTTGTGCAAGGCTTGCAATAGCAATGCAAGGCTTGCAAAAGCGTGCTCTCAATGAAGCCATAGCGAAACAGCACCCGCGCCAGCGCTCGCCCGCCTGCGCGCGGCACACCGATGCCCAGACGCGCGATCCGACGGTTCCCACAAATCAACAATGCAACTGCCCCACTCGATTGTTCCAGGTGGCCCACCCCAAGAAGTACCCCTACTTCTACGCCAAGATGATGGCGGAGCGCCGCGCCTTCGAGATGGAGCAGGAGGCGGCCGGCAGGTGGAGCTTGGTGACGCTCAACCCAGGCGTCGTCTGGGGGCCGCCGATCGGTGCGTCGGCCGCGCGCCCCGGGGCGCTCGGCACGGCTGGGGGACGCGGGTATGCCTAGGCAGGGTCCTGGGGCGGCTAGCCCAGCCGGCAGCCAAAAATTCGCACTCGCTAGCCGCTGACACCGGCCTGTCAAACCCTGGTCAACCCCTGGACAACCAATTACGCGGACGCGCCCCGCAGGCAACCGTGCGGACGGCGAGTCCATTGAGCAGATGATCGACCTGCTGAGCGGAGCGTTCTGGCCTTGGGCGCCCCCTCTGGGTGCGGGCGTGGTGGACGTGCGCGACGTGGCGCTGGCGCACTGCCTTGCGCTGGTGAAGGAGAGCGCAAAGGGACGGTTCCTGCTGGTCAACCAGGTGCGCGTTCGCGCGCGCACGCACGCGCGCGCGCACGCATGTGTGTTTGTGTGTGTGAGATGGAGGGAGAGGAAGAGGAAGTGACAAGAGAGAGGGGGAGAGAGAGAGAGCACGCACGTGTGAGTCCTTGCAGCACGTGATACAGACCATTGCAATGCAGGGACCCAGGCTGCTGCGCCCTGACCAGGCAATGAAGGTCGCGGCGCCGCACCGTCAGCCCACGCCCGAAGACGAAGCCTCCCTGCACTGCCTAGCAGCGCCCTCCCCCCTCATCGGCACCACACCCGTGCCCATGCCCGCCACACATGTGCCCGCGCAGGAGCGCGGCTGGTACCTGCTGCCGGACGCCGCCCGCATCCTCCGCCGCAGCGGCGCCTACGGCCGTGCTTGGCTGCCGCCGCTGCTGCCCGATTACTACGGCCTCATCGCCCTCGGACCCATCATGGGCTGCCCCGTGCCCATCACCAAGGCGACCTACAAGAAGCGGCCCCTGGTCAGCACCGCCAAGGCGGCGCGCGAGCTGGGCATCACCGAGTGGATCCCCATGCAGCGGTCGGTGCTGGACATGGCCGCGGACCTGACTAAGAAGGGGATGGTGCCGGCCTGGAAGCTTCCGGTGGCGTGGCCGGTGCTGGCGGTCGCGGGCGGCGTGGTGGCGTGGCTGGTGTACGTGCTGGGCGGCAGGCTCGGCCTGTTCTGACGCGGCACAGATGGGAGGCGCACGCGGCTGGCGCGGGCGGGAGGGGCCTGAGCATGCGCACGATGTGGCCGGCGGCAAGGCGCCGCGGCCGCAGCAGGGGCGAGCCCTTGACGCCCGGGCGGCGACCGCCGGGGGCGGGGGGCGGGCGACACCGGGGTCAGGCGTGCGTTGGTCGAGGCGTCGGCCTGGCGCTGATCTAGGAGTGTGTGTCCTTTTGCATGGCAATTTTTGCATGCATTGGGCGTCGGGGAGGCTGTCACTGGTGGTAGTGTTGGCAGGGACCACCACTGGGGGGGGATGGGAAGGGCATACAAGGCCGCAAGCGGCCCCGGGGTTGCTAAATTCACTGGCACACCGGAGCGGCGGCCACGGTGGCACCGTGCGGAAGCGGCGCCTAGGGCAAAAATCAAACGCAGCGGCCGAGGCCTGCAGAGTGCGATGGGGGGCACATTGGCTGTCGTGGAGCTGCACCTTTGTGTATACTGCCAGCGGCATGCATGCATAAGAGCGCTCTCATGCGCGTGTACAAGCTTTCGCGTGTGAATGTGTAGCTGACGGGCAGCTGTGCCGCCAGCAAAGCAGGTGCTGTAAGATGCAACCGCAACTTTCTTGATTCTTTTCCATAATCAAGGTATAAGCTAAGCAATATGCACTGAAGAGTAACTGTGCACATGCTTCTTAAGCTGACGTGATTCAGCCTCAACCCCCAGGTCCGCTGCACCGACCGTGGCCAGTTTGCATGCCACGCGCATGCGCGATCGCTTCCTGTGACGGCGCTGCCACAGGGCAGATTCCGTGCGCATGCCACCAATCAAGGGGGGGGGCCCACTTGGGGTAGGCTGGGCATGGCCGAGAGGTTGCCGCAGCGGGCGGGCAGATAGCAGCTGAGCTCAGCAACGACAGCACGTTGGTTCGTGGAGGCGAGGGCTGAAACACGGGACTGAGGCTCTCACACCTTGGATCCTACGAAAAAGTAGCCTTCCGAGCAACAAACAGTGACAAAGGCAACGTTTCACCCGCCACATACCAAGTTGCGTCTCGGCAGCACCGCTTTCTCAAACCATGGCACCAAGGAGCCTCAGTAGGGCTCAGGCCACACCCGTGGGGCCAGCTGCGCTGCCAGACCAGGCAGCTGCGCGTCAATCACAAGAGCCCGAACGGCTGGGGTCTTGATGCTGCTGCAAATCTATACGTGTGTGCTGAGGAGGAAGGAGCGTTTGAATTCACACGCAACTGAGTCGCAGCGGTGGTTCGGCTCTAAGAAAAGAGCAGACCCGCATGGGTTGACCAGTCCAAGTATGTCCCACGCCTGCGTCAGCGTTGCCTGGACGCAAAGGCACTGTCAGCAGCAGCCGTGACGGGCAACAGCAGGCCGTGTGCGAGTGGGCGTGCGGTGGGCAGGAAACGGTGCAGCAGCAGCTTGTTGCCGCTTACTGCTGGCTGCCTGTTCAGCTGCACACCGATGCAGCAACCACGCCAACACCCACTTGACCTCGCCTACGATACCGCGGCTGCATTCTAGCACGTTTATCCCGTCGCAGACAGCCTGCTCAGTGAGCCAGTGATCTGAAGCTGAAGGCGGCAAACATGGCAAGCGACGGTACTGACAAGCCTGCAGAGGAGCCCAAGGTGCCTGCAAGTTTTTCTTCACGCTGAGCTGCTGCGATGCACCAGATGCGGCGCGCCTGCATGAGTGCAATCTGGGCCTGTCGCGCAGCTGCAGCTGTCGGGTGAAGCGCAAGAGATAGGGATTTAGGTGCTATCACCGTTGTCCGCGATCCAGGGGCGCTGCAGTGCTGCAGTGGGCCGCCGCGGTGCCCAGTGTGCCGGAGTTCCGGCGCCCCCCGCTGCTGTGCTGCTCCCCACCAACCAGCTCGATCGCCCTATGTCCTGCCACCCGCCGCAGCCCACGCCCGTTTTTGGCTCAGGCCTCGTCGGCACCGGCTTTGCCGGCTTCACCGGCGTCAGCAGCACCAGCAGCGCCGCGCCCGCAGCAGCCGCCGCAGACGCTGGCGAGGGTGACGACGGCGCAGACCCAGAGGAAGAGTGCCAGGCGGAATTCAAGCCGCTTGTGCAGCTGGAGGAGGTTGAGACCAGCACCGGCGAAGAGGACGAGGAGTGCTTGATCGACCTGTGAGTGGCCACTGTTGCGGGGGTTGCGACGGCGCCAATCATGTGCCGCGGTTGTGGTTCTGTTGCTGTTTGCGTCAGCCTGCACAGCGAATGCGCACAACGGAACGATGGGACAATCAAATCGGAAGGCGCCGCAACAGGCCGCTACTGGCATGCACAGCGCACCAGCCAGTCGGGCCCTGCCTTGGCGCGCTCCGCCCTCACACCCCGCCCGTTTCTTTGCTGACCCATGCTGCCCCGCATCCCTGTGCTCGCGCAGCAAATGCAAGCTGTACCGCTTTGACTCCAACAGCAACGAGTGGAAGGAGCGCGGCATTGGGCAGGTGGGGGCCTGACCAATCTGATGGGCTCCCGCAGCAGCAGCAGCAGTAAAGCACGAGCACTGGCAGCACCAGCAGCAGCATCAGCAGCAGCGGAAGCAGCGGCAATGGGCGCACATCAAATCAGCAGCAAATGCAGCTGCAGGGCTGACTTGCAGTGAGTTCAACCTAAGTTTTTGCCCACGATATGAGGCGTGCTTGATGGACCAACCGGCTCCCTCTTGCCCTCGTGTGCCCCCCCTGGTCTCTCCCAGGCGCGCCTGCTCAAGCACAAGGCGAACCAGCGCGTGCGGTTGCTGATGCGGCAGGAGAAGACGCTGAAGATCCGCGCAAACCACATCGGTGAGAGCCGTGTCTGCCGCCCCGCTCGCCTCTGATCAACGCCATCGAGGCGGGGAAAGGACAGGCGTTGGGCACGGGTAGATTGACAGGCATGCCCTCCCTCTAAAACAGGCTTGTCGGTGCCCGTGGCCTTCGCTGCATCGACTTTGGTCAGTCTACGACCACTGCGCTGTGTGGTCTCAGTGCGCCTGGCTGTCCGTCCCCTTGTCCGATCCCCCAGCTCCAGTGACGTCACCCTGGTGTTTCTCCCCCCCCCCCCCCGCCCCCATGTCCGCGCAGTCATGCCCGGCACGAAGCTGCAGGAGCACGCCGGCAGCGACAAGGCGTGGGTGTGGTCGACGGTGGACTTCAGTGAGGGGGAGCAGAAGGTCGAGCTCTTCTGCATCCGCTTCGGCACTGCCGAGAGTGAGTCAGGGCGGCCGCCAGGGGCCGGCGCGGCAGGCCTTTAGCATGGGGGAGGGAATGGGGCAAACAGACTGCTGGGCGGGGGCGGCTTCTCGCCCCTAGTCGCCTCTCGCCGCGCCGTGGTCATCACGCATCCGTCCGCCCGCAAGTATTCAACTTTCCGACCCCTCCGACATCAACTGGTGCATTTCAGAGGCCCAGGACTTCAAGGCGAAGTACGAGGAGGCCGAGGCTCTCAACGCGGCCGCACTGGGGGGCGCCCCCACCGCCACCGCCACCAAGGGCGACGCCGAGGCCGACGCGGAGGCCGACAAGCTGGCGGAGGAGATTGAGGCCAAGGCTGCGGTCAAGGAGGAGGAGGCAGAGGAGGAGCCCGTCGCGGCGTGAGCGGCGCGATGGCAGGGGGTGGTGGGGGCAGCTGGCGGGGAAGCAGGTGATATCCATAGGTGTCTTTCAGAGGGACCGACGTGCGGGCCGTGCCGCGGCACGCGCGCCCTTTGGGCTTTAGAGCTGCAGGAATGCGGGCCGTTTGCAACCGGACGAGGTGGGCGCATCGACCTGCTGTTCAGAAGACTCGCAGCGTGTTTTTTTCGGTGGCGCTGGGCTTGGCGGGCCTAGTGGCCGCAGGCTCCGTCGCGGCGCGAGCCCGTCGTCGCTGTGGCGCGCCCCTTGTGCAGATTGAACATCAATTTCTTGTTATGCATACAGCATTACCTGCTCGTGTAAACGTGTGTGGTGCGCACAGTCTCGGTCGTTCAAACTGGCAGTGGGCAGCTGAGCGAGACACGAGTGAGGCCGACATCTGGTGGGGGCCTGATGGTGCCCATGTGTCGTGTGGCACGGACCGATTGGTGCACGAAGGCAGTGACACTTAGGAGTCAACTTCGTGGATTGCACTGGGGTCCACAGCAATGGAGCTGTCGACTGACTACCTTGATCGATCTGGCAGCTTTGACGCCCTCGACACCGTCTGCGTTGACGGTTTGAATTCGACGCATACAATAAGCCTTCAGTGGGCATCACTTTTGTGTTGCTACGCAGAGTAGCTGATCTGTCGCGAGATCAGCTCCCGCTAGCTGAAGGATCGGCCAGCTGAGATTTGTTGGAGTGTGCTAGTTGAGGTTATTTATTAATCTGGAACACCAGTGCCTCTGCAGCCTGTGTAGGTGCAGCAGCAGCCGAAAGCCCGCAGAGCGCCACCTCCTGTGTGCGTGCGCGTGCGCCGCACGCACAGCCGAGCCCGCGCTTCAGGCCGCCCAGCCCCCGGTCGCTTCCTGCTGCGCCCGCGCCCGGCGGCATGCAGCCGCCGGCGCTGTGGCAGCGCGAGGCCGACGGCGCCGCGGCCGCCGCCGCCGCCGCCTCCGCCGCGGCTGCGCCCGGCGGTGGCGGCGGCGGCGGGGTCTATGACAGCGACGAGCGGATCGCGGATTCGTGGCGTCACGTCAAGCAGGTGGCGCGCGAGGGGGCGAAGGACTACGACCTGCTGGACCTGCTGCAGAACACGCGGCGCGAGGAGACCTACTCGTTCCCTGTGCCAGGGGTGAGTCGGTGCGGCCGCGCTCGACGGACACGGCTGCGGGATGCGTTGGCGCGCAATTGGTTTTGATGCACAAGGGCTAGAAGTGGAAGCACTTGCCTCTTGGGCGTCCGTCCGGATGGCTGCAGTGGTGGCGCGGCAAGCTGCCCGCGGCGAGGGGCGGCGCGCCCGCCGGCGTTGGGCCGTGCGGCCACCTGCTGACCGGATGTGTTGGCCGGCCCGCCCACGCGCGCGCTTCGCACCATTGCAGTGGCCGTCCCTGCTGCGCCCTCTTTCGTCGGCGATGTCCGAGCTGCCGGCCATGGTGCAGGTGCGCCCGCAGCCTCAGCTCTGATCCGCAACACGCCGCGCCTGCCATGCCCGTCCAACAACGCATAGCGATCTCAATCACTGGATACTGGCTGATGGACTGCCAGACAAAGTTGAACCGGCCCTGGTGTCACCGCTTGGTTTGAAGATGGCCCTCTGCCCTCGGGCGGCGCACCCACCCACGTCCCGCCGCCCGCGCCTCGCCGCGGCAATTGGCCCCTTCCCCTCCGCTGCGCCCCGCCGCCGCTGATGACGGCAGGACAAGTACCGCACCTGCCAGACCATGTGCTTTTGCGGCGTGTTCCCCGAGATCCGCCGCGCCTGGGCCAGCGTCGACAACTCGCTCTTCCTCTGGAGATACGACAGGGGGTGCGCGCTGCGGTGTGCGGCGCGGGCGTTGCGGGGTGTGTGGTGCAGCGCCGTGTAACCCGAGCAGGCAGGCGGCCGCGGCGCGGGCAGGCTGTGGGGCGCGGTGCGCGTCTGCACACAAGGGTGTCGCTCCTTGCTGTTGTGAGAGCACGCAAGTGCGTGCCGCAGACTTAGGGCCGTGAGCGCCGCCGATCCCCCCCCCTTGCGCTGTCCAGGGGCGACGTGCCGGTGGAGTACTGCGGGGAGGACCAGGCGATCTGCTGCGTGGCGCTGGCGCGGCCGCGGCCGGGGGTGTTCCTTGAGGCGGTGAAGCACGTGATAGTGCTGGCCACCACTGTGGAGGGGAGGGCGGGGGGGGGGTATGCAATCAAG